ACTCACCACTCACTGATCAATCTGTTTGCCAAGATTTGAGAACCAACCATTTAAATTGCAAAAATGTTCCATCTAATTATCGAATGAATACTAACGCAGTGGCAGAGTTGTAAATGCTCATTTGGTTTCTCTTTCATCCAACGGAATGACTTTTGATTTCTGGAGAAGGATTCGAAAACTGCATGGAGGGAACCCTTTTTAGAAAACAGAGCTGGACATGGAAGGATAAGGACAGACTGGACACTGTGTGATGCCACTGAGTGATGCCTGTTCCCAGCAGGACGAACCCTCATGTGTGTTTCAACCAATACAGATTCATCATTGAACTTAACAAAAATATCTTACTCAGCTGAATCAAACTGTTACTGGAGGGTGGCAAAATATCTATGAAAGAGTGGGTAGGGAAGAAAAGACTAATGTGATGGAAAGCAAGTTAGAAAGGCAGTTATTTGGCGAGAAAGGGCCCAGAGAGGGGAGCCTGGAGACACTGAGAAGCACTCACGCTACAGACTGAGAAGGAGGAAACGGGGTGGGGGCTCAAAGAGGTGCTTCAAATTGGACCTGATGCCAACTGGCACCCTGTTTGCAAAGCCTGGCTGCCGCCCAGAACTGCTCAAATGTGGATGCCAGCCTTTCTGCCCTGGTGCATCCCTTCCCAGTAACTTGGCACTGGGGAAGTCTTGCAACTCTCACATTTATAGACCTCAACAAAACACCATTATGTGATTGAACCCCTGCCTAAAATCAGATCTGAATATGCATTTTTAAAATGAAGCATGGCAGCTGTCATAAAATTCTCAGCATCTTTTTGATGCCATCCTCTAGTGGCTTTCTGCCCAGTCTCTCACAGTTGTTTTTTTCTTTTAAATGCTCTAAGCAAATGAGCTAATGTAATTCAAGTAAAATCTAGGAACTATAAGCAAGCTGAAAGGTATTTAAAGCAAAGGCTAGAATGCAGTTCATGCAGATGCTTCAGGCATAGCCCTCAGTAGGCTGAAGAGCAGAGCCTCCACCCCATGCAACTCTGCTGACGCCACCTCTCCCCAGGATGCTGCACAGCCTCGGGCTGGCGCTCCTGCCAAGTCCACAGCCCTCTCAGGAGGAGGAA